GCCTCTCGCTTTCGAGATGTCTTGTAATATTATTTAAGGCAACGAGGCTTTCTCTGGTTCTCCGGTTTTTCACACGGATCCTATGCTTTACTGGGTTGGTTGGTCTTTGCCTAGCTAGTATTACATATTGGGCTAGTAAAGCTAAGGTCTTTAGGCATGATTACATCTTATCATCAACAAGACTGCTCTTTTCTTTCTTATCTGAGAAACTAGCCATCATGTATTCGACCTTCACTGTCAATGACTCTTAAATGTGTTAGATCCGTTTGTTGCAGAAAATGGAATGATTTGGTTTGCTACATTGTAGTGTTTAGGCCGTCTGTTTCTGTAATGATAATGCGCCTCTTTGTTAGTGGCCAAAGTGGTAGCTTTATTGACATATGATGATGATATGACTCACTTAGTTGTTCCTCTGTGTATACGTCTGATATCAAAGCTTGATGCAACCTCATTGCTTGTATACACCAATACCATCTCTTGTAACTTGCTAAATATGCACATTTGGAGAATAAAGGTGATCTGACTTGAACCGTTTTCTATTGTATGGTGGTAGACAAGTTAACACCAGCTGCGTTCGAGAAGCATTCCGGGAGGGAAACAGCTAGGAAATGGAAAAACAATGTGTGGGTTATCATTGGAGGCGAAAAGGTTCCATTGTCAAAGACAGTGTTGCTCAAATACTACAACGAATCATCCAAGAAATGCAGTAGGTCCAACAGATCACAAGGGGGCAAAGTTTTCCATAGAGATGAGTTTGTTGGGTGCAACGAATGTGGCAAAGAGAGGAGGTTCAGGTTAAGAAGCAGAGACGAATGTCGCTTGCACCACAATGCAATGGCTGATCCAAACTGGAAATGCTCAGATTTTCCATACGACAAGTAAGTTTCTTTGTCCTTTGTGTGTTAAGTTGATTCTACTTATTAGGTAAAGGAAGAGTATGCAAATGATTGATTAGTGGTGGTGTTTGCTGCAGGATAACATGTGAGGAAGAGGAAGAGAGAGGAAGCAGGAAAGTGTACAGAGGCTGCACACGTTCACAAACTTGCAAAGGCTGCACTACCTGCGTCTGCTTTGGCTGCGAGTTATGCCGTTTCTCTGATTGTGATTGCCAGACGTGTGTAGACTTCACCAGCAATGTCAAAGCTTGAAGAAGAAACCCAATGGAGTCAGTCAGTCCACTAAATTCTCAAGACTCGGTTGCATTTTAAAACTTAATTCTAAAATATCAAACTGTTATATTTTCTCTATGGGTTTTTGAATGGAGCAATTG